TTCTAATTGTTTTTCCTCTTCTTTCAACTTTTAGTGACAAGTAGTTAGGTCCTATCACCCACATGTTTAAAAATTGCAGACTGCTCATGGGATCAAACACATGCCACGATAACAACTCTTGTGACCAGTGACTAGTCTAAGATAAATTTCTCTCTTATATACTCAATGCACTACATACATATGTATTATTCTACTAGATAAAAACAATTGTTACCTTTTTATTGTTTATCTAGCATTGGCTCATTCCTTCCCTCTTCAATAATTATTTGATCAGTTCTTGCTGCACACCTAGATACAGTCTAGTTACTCTGCTACATCATAAGCACGTAAGAATTTCTGGAAACTAATTTTGAATGATGTAATTTTGTGCTTCCCCTAAAAGGAGCCAAACTCCACAATCACAATATAGCTCCAGAAATATCAACTATACAACTACCGTGAAGGGAGTCTCAATAATCTCGGTAAATGGCCATGAAAAAATTTTAGAGTGATGCCATACCAGTGAGGGATGAACAACCAACATTGCTTTCACCTGGTGCCCATGGCCCCCAGATGGGTACTTTTGGATCGCCTGGTCTTCACTGGTGTAGAAATACTTCAGCTTCCTGCCACCCGACATGACATGTTCTGCCAGTTGCTCTACTTCATGCTGGTTGAGGGACGTACTTTCTCACAATGACTGTTCTTCCAAAACAATCTTTACGCTTCTACATGAATCTGGGAGTGGATCACCAATGAAAGACTCTGCTATCTGAACAAGGATTCCATGTCTCTGAAGTCCTGATAATGATTTGAGATTGGCACCTGCTCACCCAGGCAATAAAAATCTTTCTCTTCATCTCTCAACAACCTTGTGCTGCTGTTTGATTTCTGAGAAAATTAAAAATTTATTCTCAGTGTCCAGGCCTTGCTCCATGCCAATGAAAATATCAAATTGGTATCAGTCAGGAGTCCCCCTTGGAAGTCACTGACATGGATTCCACATGTGAGATGATCTCATAGGAAGCTATTTTGGAAATCTCCAATATCAACATGTGTGGCAGATGGCTTGACTCTGTGAGGTCTCTGCAGAGCCTCCCAGATCTCTTGTTTGCATTTGCAGAAGTCAAGGCTCTGAACAGTGACTAATAGGGCTGGCAAAACATCCTTCTTCAATAATTTGTAATTTCACCAAAATCCCTCATCTTAGATGAGTCAGTGGTCAAAAGAGTTGTTATCATGGCATATGTTTGATCCCATGAGAAGTCTGCTTGTGTTTATTTTATTTGCTTCTAGATAGCCTCCAATAAAACTTAGAATACCCTGAGCCTAAGAATTGAGGGAATTACATAAAGGTCATCTGGAAGTCAGCACAGACCTAAATCAACTCCCTCATTCTTTGGGCCAAGATGGGCTGGGTAATCCTCAAAGAGTACTGGTGGCAGCTTGGAGGAAGGTCTCTAATCAATAGGCCACAGGGTTCTCTCTCTCTTCAGCCTCAATCAAAATGTTTCCCTCTGCCACAGACAAGGACATGGAAGGCATGCTTATCAAATCTGATGAAATTCATTCAGCATATGAATCCCAAGAAACAGGACACTTGACATCCAACTCTGCAATATACTTTAGAGAAACCATTTAAGCAATGTCTGTGCAATTTTCAGTGAAGATAGGATTTAGTTTCATATGAAGAGTAATTATCAAAAGATTTATACTGCCTGCTATTGTTTTGTTTTCTTCTTCATTCTCATTGGTATCTTTTTTTTTTTTTGAGGGAGGGGAGAAGTGCTTACAGAGTTAGAGATCACAGTGGGTGTCCATGGCAGTTAGTTCCAGAAAATTATAACCAGTCATTAACTACCATCTTAAATGAGCACTCCAAGATATCACACACTGCTTCTTGGCACACAGAACAGAGGATAAAGTCCCTACAGGCAAGTTCAAGGCCTATAGTTCAAAGGCCATAGAATTTTAGAACTAATAAAAATATTAGAAATTATCTAGCCTATACATCCCATTTTACAAATGAGGCACTTTAAAGCTACAGGATCCCCATGACTTCAGAATGCCCCACTATAATTCAGATACAGAGCCTACATGAGAACCTCATTCCTTCCCTATGTGTCTCTCCCTTGATGCTCCAGGATGCCTGACTGGACGCCTGACTCAATGCCTCCTTGTAAGTAGGTGGTGCCTCTCCTTCTGGTCTCTTTTCTCCCAACACACTCCCTGTGAGCCATTCTCACCAGCACGTCCACAAAGCTCCACCCCATTATTGTGACTTTGTCTGTCTAGAAGTCCCTCCCAGTTGGTCTGGAAACTCCATCACAGTTAGTCGCTCATGTTCACTCTGCCCATACTATGTGAATTTTCAGACTGCTTTACATCCCACTGTCTCTCCCACTGTGAGCTGATGGGAACAAGAATTAAATGTTAGTCATCTTCTGGGACACTATGCTGTACACCAGAAACTGGCACAGTGTAACTGACTGTCCTCCAATTAAAAATAAAAAGTCGTCTTGAAAATCGAGCCTCAGGTAGACCCAGGTATATCGTAGACAACAAATGGACAAATTAAAAGAAACAAACCAACAACAATTAAAAAAAATAAACTTTAGGCCAGGCCCCATTCCATGATTCTGTGGAAGCCATAGATATTAAAAAGACAAAGGTTTAGCTCTCAAGGGGCTTACAATCCAGTGGAGAAGTCACTTATAACTTCTCAACAAATATTGGTTGAATGATGAATTAATGTGATCTAACTTCATTTCTCCCACATTGATAATACATTACCAAAACTCAACTGATCTCAGTGTGTTTTGTGGAGCAATCGTTTTTTATCTTGATTAACAAGACTTCCTACTTTGTAGTCTGACTTCCTCACTTCACTGCATTTATCACAGGGAACATAGGGGAAAAATCCACTCACACATATTCGAATAATCCCAGTAAAACACTGAGTTGGCCTGGAGTGGGGAAATAGGCACACATACTGTTAGCTGGAGTATAAGGCAGTACAGTCTTTCTGGTTATCAACTTGGCAATATATACCAGCATTTTAAATGTATCTCTCTTAGTCTCAGCATTTTCACTACTAAGAATTTATCCTGTGAACATATTTGCACAAATCTGCAAATTTATACAGATACTCATTGCAGTGATGGTTGAAGTAACATACATTTTTAAACTGTTACATCCAGATCCTGGAATTCTATGCAATCATTACAAAGGGTACAACAAATTTAAATGCACTAAGAAGGAGAGACATTCAATATATTATTATTAGTTCAAAATACAAGGCACTGGAGAGTAATATTTGGTATTATCCATTTGTGTAAACAAAGAATAGATACATGTCTTTGCATATATATAAAAATTACTAAAAGAATATACAAAAAATATTAACAGAGATTGCAACAGTGGATGGTATAGTAGAGAAGAGATAGGAGAATTATTTTTCATACATTTTTTCTGTAGTGTTTGAATCATTTTACTGAATGTTACTTTTATGATTTATAAAAGTGTCTTCCATCTTCTTACCACCTTCTTGTTTTATTTCAGTTTAGCCAACTCTTCTGTTTTCAGGACTGAGGTTATTTATTGCATATTAAGTCTCTCAAACTAATATACATCTCCCAATCTTATTCTCTCTAAACCACTTTTTCCACCTTAAATATGACCTTCCCAAGGTCTTTAGCTTATTATTAACCAGATGAAACCATCAGCACTTGGATCCTCAATCCAGGTATTGAATTACAAAAAGTACTTTTGAAAAAAAAAAAAACTGCTAACTCATTTGCCTCAGTTAAAACATCCGCAAAGATTAGCAACGTGGCAGTGTCAAGACACAAGAGGTCAAAGATCCACACACTCCACACAGGACGTCACAGTGGGGCTTAACTGGGGCAGTTCTGGTTCTGCCTTTAGGACCGGGAGCACTTTGATCTCAATGAAAGCGCTTAAGACACCGCAATTATCCCCGGATCATCGGCACGGTAGACCCAAACAACTCCAGTCTATCGTGTCAATGAGTACTCCGGGAGTCTTTAATGCACGGATCATTGGCAAGCTGTGCCATAAAAGCCCTGTAGGAGCCGTGGCCGTGTGTGGAGTCGATGCACCCTCGGGGACTCCCCCAGGCCCGGATCATTGGCAGCGTATCGTGTCAATGCATACTTCGGGAGCCCTGTGCACGCTGAGGAACAATGGACACCAAAATACTTATGAAGTAGCTGTTACAGTGCATACGCAGTATTCACTCTTCTAAACGGCATGTCAGCAAGTTGAGTGTGCGACAAATAACTCCTAAAAGGCACAAAACCCTCCTAGAGGCCCAACTTCACACACGGACGGTTAGACCGTGGAACTATGGCACGACTGTGGTAGGAACGCGAGTCTGTCTTTACAGGGAACAAAGGCAATCTAAGCCACTGCTTCCACTCAGTGTCGTCAAGGTTTTCACTATAATCCCAATTACTTCCTAATTATCTGCCTGGGCATTTGATGCTTAAGATCCAAGAATCTTCCTCTCTCCCTACTGGGTTCCAAATCACCTGCAAGACTAAGGTGAAAGGGTTAAGAGGAAAGCTCCCTGCTCTTAAAACCTCTAGACTAGAACTGTCCAACATAAATACTTTCTGAGCCACGGGCATCTTTTTAAATGTTCTTTATAGCCACTTTTTTTTTAAAGGTAAAAAGAAATAGACCTAATAGATTTTAATAGTATATTTTATCTCTGTGTGTGTGTGTGTGTGTGTGTGTGTGTGTGTGTGTATAAAATACTATCATTTAAATAGCCCATCAATATTCTCAAATGATCAATAAGGCAGTTTACACTCTTCTTTTCCAAAGTCATCACAATCCAGTCTGTATTTCACACCTACAGCACATCTCCATTTGGACCAGCCAAATTTCAAGTGCTCAATAGCCACACGCATCCAGTGGCCGCCCTGGTGGACCGCCCAGCTACAGAGAAAATGGGATCCCAGCAGTTTAAATGTTCACTATGCCCCGTCAACTACCTGTCTCAAAGTAGGTGTGTGTCTAGCTTGCCACCTCATTTCCTGAGTGCTGCACCCTCCGAACCGCTTTTTCTCCGCCGCCTCAGTGGGTGGATCTGTTTTGGGTTCGACAATCCTAAAAAGGACCACAAATAAGCATTCAGAAAGGGGAAAAGAACGACTTTAGGCCGAAGCGATACTGTCGGTGTCAGGTCCTCTTTCTTGGAGATGGAGGTGAAGAGGAGAACGAGGGCTAGCTGGGGGAAGGGAAAAGGAGCAGGGACAGCGCTCAGGGTGAGGGTGGCGGCCTGGGTTGCCACTAACCTCCCCAAATGCGCTGTCAGCGGGGTTTGCCAGGTCCCGGGCAGTCGGCCCGGGTCGGGTGGCTGGTGTCTGAGGCTGAGTCTTCCCAGGGACACGAAGCGGGAGGGGTGCGAGGAGGAGACAGAGACAAAGCCTCGGGGGAAGAAAGAGAGAATCGAGCGGGAGCGGGAGCGGGTGCGGGCCGGCCGCAGACAAAGCCGGCGGCTATCAGGGGGAAACGGGATCCGCGCTCATCCGGGGACTCGCGGACGCTGGGGGCGGGGGGCCCGCGCCCGGCAAGCCCATTTGAATATCAGGCT